TAGAAGAGCTAGAACTGCCACCGCTTCTCTTAAAACTCTGGGTCTTACGAGGTCTTTGAGATGCTTGCCATTTTCCTTTATCATCTCGGCTCAGGTTCACATTCTTTTCTTCCTCATCCTCACTTTCAATAGGCATGTTCTCCGAGTCCTCAATCCACAGTAAAACCTCATAAAACTCTTGGTAAGTGGCACAGGGAGTCGATGTCGCTATAGAACGTCATTTCTTCTTAGTACCCAACCTGAAACGATGGAGCATCTCAACCGGATTAGCAGCAACCTTTGGATCATATCGCGACAAATCAGTGAACCTCATGTAATACTCATTCGCTGACATCTTTCCTTGCTTCAAATGGGTAAACTCTTGTTTCCTACGATCAATGTACTCAGGAGGAATGAACATTTTCCGAAACAACTCCTTAAATACTCCTCAGTCTGCAATCTCTGCTGGGGTCAACTGATAAGACTCATGTCTCCACCAGGATGCGAGCTGCTCCCCTAAAAACCAAGTAGTCATCTCGACCCATCTATCAGGAGGAAAGTTGCCCAGACTCTGCATCACAAGGAAAGTCTTCTCGATATGATTAAGCCACTGCTCCGCTCCCTCATGTCCTTCATTTCCTATGAAGTGATTCAGCTTCAGGTTATACACAGTCTCAAGAGGTGTCATTTGAAGATGACGGAGCGAAGACTGAATGGCATTAGCTATAGCTTCCCCTAATTGAATAATATCAGGGAAACTAAGCTCAGCTGAGTGATTGGGCTCTCTACGAGGCGGCATAGTTCTGACAAAAGACATCATAAGGATTAGAATATTCATGAACTATACAGGACTACTAAACCTAGGTTCTGATACCAAACTGTCACACCCCGACCAAGATCAAGGGATGCTGGCAATCACGTAAGGGTGACGTAGCCATGTGCACAGTGCGGAAGCAAATAAGATAAGAAATATACGAATAATTAAAAACTGAAAGTTAATAAAGTGCACTAATAACGGGAAGTGTTAGGAGTGAAATACAAAAGTAAATACTCCTAATCAGAGCATAAAAAGTCTAGGTGCAGTCCAGTAGGACAAGTACTAATTATACAGTACCATAAGATGTCTTACAATTATTTAGATATGTTAGAACCGCCGAAATCCTCATACCTAGCAACAGCAAGCTTACCTAAAACCTGGAGGGCCGCAACAGAAAACGTGAGTGGGCAAAAACGAATGTTTTACAAAACCATTTCATTAATCAACAATTCTAACCCCTTGCCATAAAACATATATAATTTTCCTAGAAATAGAATATAAGTTTATGCGTAAATATATATATATATATATATATCAATTCAAATCATGCTTCACATAATCATAATCATAAGTATGCCATGCCAAGATATCACAGAGTAAGTAATTCAAGTGAGAATAAATTCATGGATATATAACATATTAGCCGGAACCCATATAACATATTAGCCGGAACCCCTATAGAAGTCTGTACGGTTGCATTCATAGCTCAATATTCAAATCTAGCCGGAGTCATTACAATGACCTATACGGCACTCTACTGCACACGAGTCGGAACCAATGAAAATGTCTGTTCAACAGAACTGGGTGTAATATAAATATGCTCAATACTACTCTCTCGTAATAGCTGGGCGATAAATCGCTAGTCACCTACAAGTCGGAACCACCTATGATGGTCTGTACGACAAGACTATGCACCTAAATTGGATCCAATGTGAGCATATGGTGTGGGAGGTGACATCAATAACAGGCATGTGTCATATCTTTGGCTAAATAACAATCACCCTAGGTGCAGTTTCATGAGCTCAATGTTATTCAATCACATGCCATCAAACAATAATTCTCATAACCAAACATAACTCACCTGGCACTTACCTGAGCGTCCACAGCACCACAAGCATGTATATATATGCAATCAATTCAACTCATATACGAAATATAAATTTATATGCATGGCATTCAAGACATACTTTCATTTAAACGCATATTTCTGAGAAAATATCAAGAATATAAATATATACTGAAAACCAAAAACCCACTCACTAGTATGTCGAAGGGTCGTAGCCCCGAGTCGCCCTTAACTGCGCTCGTCCTCGGGATAAGTCTCACCTATATGCGAATTAACTGTTTAAATGTTATTTAAAGCAGATATAGGGTGTTTGAATATACCAACGTGATCTACACAACTCCACGAACATCCTCATATTTTTAGAAAATTTTTCTAACCACTCACGCGCTGGCCAAGGCATAGCCAGACGCACCACCCACGTGCGGGCACGTGCCTGGCACACCCACGGCAACAGTGACGTCGTTAGGAATATTCCATTAAATAGTAACGGAATCTGTTAAAATGAACTAACACCGTTGGAATATTCTGTCAAAGTTGACGGAATATTCCGTCATCCCTAACCTCAGAACTCCAGCGACCATCGCTGGCGCTGGAAACTGGGCAAAACTTAAAACCTTGATATCTCACTCGATATTCAACCAAATTTCACAAATTTTATGTCAAAATGAAGCTTAGAACAAGTAGAACAAACCCATACTAGTTTTAGGACCTAAATCCCACGAGATTCGTTGGAAAACTCCTCGATATTCTGGTCAAACCTGCAACTCGCCGTTCTCGCTATTCCGACGTCCAAACTCTTCCAACGAACCACTCCTAGCCTCGTGAAGACCTCCTTAAGCTACCTATAAGCTTGAAATCCCAAAAAACATAAGATTCTACATTTGCACGAATAGTACCTCAAATCGAAGGTTAGAGTTCTCGGGGTTTTTGGGGTTTTCAGGTCCTAAAAATAGCATATATGAACTCAGGGACAAGCAAGGATTTCAAATCTTACCTTCTTGATGTCGATCCGTGCTTGAAGTGTGAGTTTTGTTGTTCGTCCGTACGTGAGGGAAGGAGAGAGAGTAAGTCCGAGGGCGATAGAGTACGAGAGAGAAGAGAGAGAGGGAGAGTGTGTGTGTGTGTGTGTGTATGTTCCATATGGGTCACCAACCAACCACAAAATAACATCTAAGTCCCCAAAGTATGTCACACACACACACACTACAAAGTTCAACGTCCAAGGATAAAACCGTCATTTTACATCATCAATAATAATAATTCGGGACGGGCTGTGACATATATATGAGTAATTAGAATCCCTTATATTTTTTTTCCAACTTGTTTAGACAAACCATTTGTTACTTAACAAAATTTGATTAAGATGCTTTGATCAATTGCCAACTTAGCATTTTTTTATTTAATATATATCTACTTAAACTAGCTTACAACTAATTTCGTACCATTCAAGAATTTTAAATTCTTCGACTTTTTTTTCTATTAAAATATTAATTTAACTAATTCTTCATTATCACTAAAAAAAGAGATTAACTTCTTATTTATTATTTATTTAATTAGTCTCTTCGTTCATTTAAACAAAGTCATTAATATTTTCATAACAAAACTTCATTAATTTGTTAAAATTTTACGTATAGTTATATATAAAATGTATAAAAAATCCAAATGTACCATAAAACTAAATATACCCATAAGTAATCAAAAGTACCAATATAATCAAACAAACATACAATCAAACGTACCTCTAATGAAATTGTAGAAAAAAATGTTTAGTCAAATTTTTAAAAGAAACAGATGTTTAATCAACGAAATTAAAAAACGAAATGCCTATATCAAGACACCCCGACCGTTTGGTATATGAACACATGCCCCTCGGCACTTCGGTCGGCAGAACTACTTATATGAACAGGAACGCCAGACTTGGATTGTCTGCCATACTAGTTGTGGTGCCCTTCCATGCTCTCCTATTTTGTGCGGTCACGGTTAAAACACGTCAATATTTTATATTTTTATTATTTTTTGTCTTATTATCTTATTAAAAAATTAATATAAAATATTGACGTGGCTTAATCGTGACCGCACAAAATAGGAGGGCATGGAAGGGCACCATAACTAAGAGGGCAGACAATCCAAGTCCAAGATCACAACCACCTCTTTGTTCTCAGTGCACGCAAACGATGGTTCGGATTAGAATTTCTTTATAAGCACACCCACACGTTAATAGGTCAATTGTAAAGATGACTACTTGACTAGCTATCTATGTGTGTTTATTCTTGGCATAGCTTTGCTAAGCTAGGTAGCTAGGGTTGCATTTTGGTATTAGGTTGATAAGTTTTAAAATCCAAGTGGGTTGGTATTCATCCTAAATGGCATGTAAGGGTATCTTCAAATAAGATGTTAAAACTGTCACATAAAGATACGGCTGTAAAAAATGCCAATAAACTCTCTTTACTGAGTCTTCAGTTTTTTACATGGTGCTGAGCCAATTGAAGGTAAACTATTATGCTGTCAAATTTTTGTAATAAAGTTTTATTGAATGTGATGCAATATACAATAAATGTTATTGTGTGTTCAAAGTATTGTTTTGGTTGTCTCAATAATTAGACCCCACAAAGAAGCAACAAAAATTATAAAATGACATTACTATTTAACATATCGGTCGAAGCAAAAAATTATACAAAATGTCAAATTAGCACATAAGTTATCAAATATGATTTTTTATGCTGGAATTAGAATTAATGATTGGCCAGCTTTTGTGAACAGCTATTTTACTCGTTAAATGCAGGAAGATACAAAGATGGCCGATAATTAATTATAATTAATTTGACGAATTGCTACCACAGTGTGCCATTAACTATTGCTACCCAAACTTGCACATTGCCACAACCATACAGACCGGCAAAAAGCATACATCCCGTGCATTGGACTAACAAGATAAAGTTAAGACATACGCCCTGCACAAATGTTGTCGAAAAGAAATGAAATGCACAAATGCAAAAATTTGATCTCACAAGTTCAAGTGGCGTCGAATCAACATGAATTTCAATGCTGCATTCGCAGAGCATACAGAGCAACGATCACAAATTTTCGAAATCGGATAATCCTGAATCATAATGCCAACCAAAATGTAGCAAACAGAAATCGAAACAAACCCATCACGATAACAAAACATAATCATACGTTCACAGAAAAACCATTCATTTGGAAAAACAGAAATGCATATAAATATCCGCTAATTAAACTTCCAAAATATAACATAAACTGTAGCTCAGCAGTCTAAACTGAAATTCAATTCCAAAAAACAGCAACTTTAATCCGAAACCTTAATGCTAAAAAAACAACCCAAACCTAAGCGGTGAGCACGACGGCGCCACCGGCCTCCTTAATCTTCTTCTCGGCGGTCTTGGAGATGAGCTTGGCCTTGACCACGATGGGCTGGTTCTGCGGCAACTCGCCCTTGCCGAGGACCTTGAAGAAGCCGTACTGAGTGACATCGATGAGCGGGGCGTTGTCCTTGGTGGCCCTGTCCTTGGCCTCCTGAGGGAGGAGCGACCAGAGCTTGTCGACGTTGACGATGGGGCAGTAGAACTTGTTGCGAAGCTTGTGAAAGTACCTCATACCGACTTTACCGAAATACCCAGGATGGTACTTGTCGAAGAGGATCCGGTGGTGGTGCATGCCTCCGGCGTTACCGCGACCTCCGGGATGCTTGCGGTGCTTGCCGATACGACCGTGACCGGCGCTGACGTGGCCTCTCTTCTTGCGGTTCTTCTTGAATCGGGTCGTCATTTCTCTCTGTTCCCCGAGTCTGCACCTCCTTCTCTCACTCACCTAGCTAGGGTTTCGGCGGCACTGAAGATTGAGGGAGGTAGGGACATTGGGATATTTATTTGGTGGGAATTTATGTGAGTTTACGATTTCGCCCTGAGTTAGGTTAGATTGTTTCTCAGCCCATAATCTGTACTCTTTGCCATAGCCCAATAATCCGGCCCACACAAGAAACACGTTTAGACCTAAGTCTACCGGAGAGTTTTAATTTTCTCATATTGCACCCCTAAGGTTTTAGAATCATATCAATTCGTCTTCTATCATGTTGAACTGACTTCTAGACTGTATAGAGACCACACTTAAATCATTAAATGATTCGTTGTCGTTTCGGAGTACGATTCATTGATTGAGAAGAAGGGAAGCTTCATCATGATTTAGCTTGGTAGACTCACCGGGATGACGCCTTATTAACCAATTAGATCTCGCATGAATAAGTACCCTACGAAGTTTGTAGTGTCATTCATCTTGTACAAGCGGATAACACGTTCTCTACAACAACGTGAGGAATGGAGCAAACCCAGCGACATGTAACACAAGATGAGTTTGGTGACTCTTGGTTTGTCCGGTTCAAATGTTGACTTCATGAATGAATTGATACATTCTCAAATCGATGACAAATTGAAACCTATTTGATAATATTCGCTTTCTAAGTTGTTAAAAAAAGGTTACTCAAATAAAAAGGAGTTGGAAATGAAAATGCAACCTTGAGAAAGAAGTAGAGAAATTCAATATTTTAACCCTGAAATGTACATATATTACAAGAACAACCTAAAATTACATGAACAAGATGATGTACACGTCAATGATACACAAATACAACAAAAGGGTTTGTACAATTCAGTTTTGAATAAAGAGGGCAGCTCCAACTAAACCCAACCACAATGTCAAACCTATCCAAAAGGCTTGGCTTTTCTCCAGACCGATTGGAGGCCGCCATACCATAAAGTCTCCGAAATAGTCTTTAGACGAAGAGAGCTGATTGGTCACTGTTCCGCTGCTAATCGGTTCCTTGTCTTTGTATTTATCACTCCACGTTCCGGCATAGCTGCATTGCTCAAGCATCATAAACCGCATTAGTCAGGGAGGATTTGAGATGAATTGCAGGAAATGATAAAACACTGAGACGTAAATGCGTGCTCAAGACCAAAAGCGATATGGTCATCAAACGGCCTCCAAGTCATTCAAAACTAAGTCACTGAATTGTGAAGAAAATACAGCCAACGGTTTTAGTTCAATTTGTTTATTTGCAGCCCTGCTTCTTTAGAACTAGTAAAGACCAAGATAAGGGTGACACCAACTCAATGCACTGATTTCAGAGAGTCCAAATGTTAATTGAGAGAACTTCAAGATTACCAAATGTTCGTCAAGAGGTTAATTTTCGGTTTGACCATCTTAAACAAAGATTTAGGGATCAACAATGTATCCATTACTTTGGAAGGATCTAATGCTCAATGACGAGGGCACCAAATGTGGTGGCTTTATAATTGATACACCGAGAACTGGAAAGCCCTATGCAGGTAACACGGGGATTGCCCTATGCAGGTCAGAGGAACACTAAGTACTAACCATATGCTAAAGGAACAATTAGTCAATTACAATGCTTTTGTTGAGTCAAAAGGACCAATACCTGTCGTAACTGGAACCAATGAGCGGTATGGTTACCATCTCTTCTTGGGATATCTTGAGCTTTGGCGCTTGCAAAATGTAACGAAGCTCTGCAGCTTGGCGCCGGATGCTAACACTCGGGTGCTTCTTCTCCAATTGATGGTAAAGTTCAATGCAATCGGTATGGCGGTTATTAGCCTCGTAGGCCATAGCAAGCCAAATTTGTATCTGAAAAGTATACCGCCGAAATTTCCATTAGCATTTGATCAAACATGTAGCGGCATTAACACAATTGTCAAAAGGAGATCATCATAGTCAATGGGACTTAAACCAACCTCACCACCGAATAACGTGGGCCTAGGAATGATCGTGAGCGCGCCTTCTAAAAACTCAATGGCACGGCCGTACATGCCCCTTCCATACGCCTTCTGCCCCAAATCAAACATCAACTGTGCCGTGGCCCTCCGCTCCGCCTGCTCCTTAGCCACCTGCCCTCGTACCATAACAACAAACAAAATCAATCAATCTCATTACAACTACAATTGGAGCTACCAGTAATTTAACCACCAATCGTGAAATCGAATAACCAGCTATACACCCAAAGCAATGAACTTTTCGAGAATCGAGCTTCAATTTGGTATATAAATTTATTCGGGAAATAATTTCCGCGCAACTCTTTTCTCCCTATGCACACCTTCATCACATGTTGTATACATGTCACATAAGTTATGTGCCTCGTTTTATTCAATCTAAAAGCCAGAATTAAACCGCGAGTGCAAGGGAGAAAGGGTGTGTGCAAATCACTTCTCAGTTATCAACGTAAAATCGAAAACTTTACTACTAAACAGTAAATTAGCTCAAAAGACTGACCTTTTCCAGCTCTTTCCTCACTCTCATCCGCTTCTCCTGCTCCGTCTCTTCCCTGCCGTCGTCTTCAAAATCCTCCTCCATCCGGCTCTGTATCTCCTCCGCCTTCTTCTCCAGCTCCCTCCTCTCCTCGATCTCCTTCACCCTCTTCCGCATTTTCTTCTCCCAATCCAACGGCTCCTGATCGTCCCCGTCCCCGTACCCATTCCCGTTCCCCTCCTCGTCCCTGTCGAAGTTCACGCCGTTTACTTTCGAATTCGCCTTCCCCCGAGCCACGACTCGCTGGCTCCGAGTCTCCCCGTCCGAGTCAAACCCCTTTACCGCAATAAAACCGTTGAGTGCCTGACACTGCGGGTCCCGCTTCGGCAAGATCAGACTCAGGTTCAAAAGGGCGTCGAGCGCCACCGGACGAGTCTTCCGGTCTGGAATTACTGTCCTGGGCGACGTGACGTCTAGTAGCAGAGCTAGGTTTCCGATAACCACGGCCATCGTGTCCCGGGAAGAGTCAGAGCGGAAGAGAGAGTGGAGTAAGGTATGGGATTCCCGCTGAAAAAGACGGTGAGAGAGATATTTGGGTCGTTGATTTATTTAGACGGATATACCCTTAAACTTACACGTAATTACGTTTTTAATCTGGGTGCTGTGGAAAATAGATTCTGTGTTTGGCGAGGGCAATATTGTTGGAAAGCATGTGAACGTGGCGCGTCACAGGCGAGAGACGTGTGGCAACTGTAGCAGCCTCGACTTGTCTCGGGAAAACACGTTACTTACGCCGTCGTTTTACCACAGGCGTACACGAGTCAATACATTTTTCGCCGGAATTTCAGATATGCCCCATAAAGTTTTGGCTTCTTTACATTTCATCCCTCAACCTTTTTGATATATTAGTACACGCTTAACTGTAATTTGGTTTGGTTTGCTTAACTATAATTTTTGGGGATATCCAATGAAAGAGGCAACTGTCTTGAAATGAGCATTTTATATTTTCGGATGCTATAAAAGTTGTATAATAAAAAAGAGAAATTATATTCACACACCCTAAATTACTTCTCCCACACCTTTTTAATTTTTTAATATTTTCTACACACCACTAACACTTGATAGAAAAATATTAAAAAATTAAAAATGTGTGAGAGAAGTAATTTGGGGTGTGTGAATATAATCTCCCATAAAAAAATGTAAAATTTAAATCTTGATTGAAAAATGTAAATAGAAATGAAAATTTGCATTTTTTTTACCTCTTTTGGAGGTGGGCTTTGCTAAACAAATAGAGAAAATTAAATGGGATTCTAAGTTTGTATCTTTATTATTGGAGTACAACTCATCCTTACGCTCGAAAAAATATAAAATGAAATGTAAATGTGATATTTACACCTCTCCATTACAAAATGTCCCAATCTTGCTCCTCAAGATACTTTATTGTGGAATTAACAAGGAGAACACTAATAATATTTTTTATGTATGAAATAAATTATACGTGTTATTGTGATTTATAATATAAAATAAAAATAAAACAAAAAAAAAAGTTTTAAGTTCAACTATTTTCATTGCACAAGAGTTAAAATTTATTAGTTTAAAGCCAAAATGTGCATTTACGATGATATAACTTTTAGAGTCAACTATGACTTTATAACTTTACGCCGAAACATTAAAAATAGCCTAAATGAGGAAGCAGATATTGGCAATGAAATATGAGTAGCAAAATCATGGAAAAACAATTTCAAGTGACTAAAGCTATATAATTATTGAACCATAACATATTCCTTTTGTTAATTGTTTTTAATGGATGTTGTAGAAAGGGGACGAACTGGGGGGGGGGGTTATGAGTGCAATAGTTCTTTCTCCTTCAAGGGAGAGTTGGTACCTCACAAATGACGATTGACAAAGAACTAATCTCCCATAATCCTTCTATGAAAAAAAAAAAACACAAAACTCTTTTTTAAAACTTCATGGACCAATCGGAACCAAACTAAAACTTAAAAGTTCAAAGTGGAACGACCGCAAATTTCCGAGGGTAAATTTGCAATTAAATTTTGTAGTTTTCCATTTTTTTGGGCAACGTTAGTCCTGAGTACCCGCAACAGCTGATGTGTGAACTCTCGACTTCCACATCTTCGTCTCCTCGACTCAAACGTACCACAGAGCCTCGGGGAGAAAGAGAGAGAGAGAGAGGAGAGAGGAGAGAGAGAGAGAAAGAGAGAGAGAGAGAGAGAGGGGATATATACCAGAGCCATAGCTTTTTCTCCATCCAATGCCCCCTTCAACCATGGCCAAGCCTCTCTGCAACTTCCACCCTCCTCTCCTCTCCTCCTTCCGCCACAAACAACCTCTCATCACAATAACCCCTCGCGAACTCCGCCATTTCACCTCCGCAACCCGAACCACCACCCTCAACCCTCGCCTTTCTCTCTCCACCCATTCCTCCAATTCCACACGCTTCCACTTCTCTCCCCCGAAATCGACCTCCGTCAACGGCTACGCGACCACCGAAGAGTACAAAAACGGCGCCGAAGAAGCCGATGTCCAGCTGTCAGAGAAGCTCCGGCAACTCTTCGCGTTTCTCCGCTCGATATTACCGGGA